TTTTTTTTTTTTAAAGGCTCAGGGCTGTTGAGTGTATGAAGTGCAAGAAACCTAACAAATAAAATATAGTTTAAGTGCATTGATTCTTAACACAACTGTAGACTGTGGATACGAATTTCAGCACAATCTTTATTATAAAGGCCTGAAAATATAGAGTTTCAAAAAATTCATTAAAAAAGTAGCCAGTGTGAGATTGTTTAAAGTGGGTCAGAGTCCCGTTTAATCTTTTTTGTTATTACGCCTCATCATCTCTTCACGTCAGGCTGATTTCACTTGTTTAGACTAACGGCTAAATATTTTGTTGTATGTGATGCCTCTGTTCATTAGGAACATGCCAACTCTTTAGGAATTTCACATTTCTCACGATTGCTTGGAATTATAAGATATTTATTGGGCGCTTCTCCCAATAGGACTTGCATTTTTCTGTTTCTAGATCTTTCTAAATCAAGGAGTGTGTTTAAATTGAGGAGTTTGTATTAAAATTACATTGTTCAATACACTATTTCAGTAATGTTGTCAACCCTCTTGTGTGAGCTTAGCTACTCATTGGTTCTTTTATTGTTTAGTTTTTTTCTTAAATGGTTGACTAATCTCTTGCCTGTTTTCAGTAATTGTATATTTCTTATCTCTCTTTTGCGAGGCTTCTACCTCCTCTTTGTTATAAGGGAATGCAAGCCATCTGCCTTAATTTCCACCACTCTTATGATTTCCTACTTTTTGTGAGCGGGCTTGATTCCCAGTTTCCAGCTTTATCAACCAAATTGTTGTTAAAATGCTACAGAAGAGAATGGAGTCTGTGGTCGAATACAGAAAGAAATTGTGTGGACATGAAATGTCTTGCTTGATTAAAAGAAAGAACCATATTTGTTGTCAGATCAGTTTTTTATGCCTGTTATTTCAGTGGCAGCACATATTGCATAACATGTTTGTAAGGAGGGTACACTGGAGTTCAGGTCTTACACACATTAAGGGTTACGGGTGTAATGGTTGTGCCCCACTTAAAAATTTTACAACCTGTGTAGACCTGATACCTGACCTTTGCTGAGCTTCATCACTGCATAAAGTGCAGAATATTTTTGAACTCAAAAACACAGCGTGTATATGTTTAATTTGTTTTACTGGAACATTTTTATGGTTTGCACAGTTGTTCAGACACAAAAAAAGCATATGACCAGCTTTGTGAAATTGCTGTGGAGCCATTTTTCGTCGAACTACAGCGCTGCAGAATAAGTTAAACTGCAGCAATTTTTACTACTAAACTAATATAAAACAATAAATAATATATATATATAAGATAAGATAAGAGAACTTTATTAATCCCTCGGGTGGGTTCCTCTGGGAAATTCGACTTCCAAAAAAAGCACAGCAACGACCGAAGTTACAGTTACAGAATTGTTATATATATATATATACATATTTATTTATTTAAAAGAGGTCATATAAAGCGATGCAAAATCTAAAATTTTGTACTTTTATAATAAAAACTCTGGCAATATATGAGTAAACATGGTTCAGCACGGTCACGAGCTTCGTGAACTGCGCGTGAACTGGCGAATCGTGAGCGCGCAAGAGCTGCAATGGCCGCTTTGGATCGGCGAAATCCTAATCTCGACGATTTTGTCGGATTAAACTGGAGCTGTTGGGTAGACAGAGTGAATGTTTTATCATCTGACGGTGAGTCGTGCACCCCAGCTCCAGACCTGATTCCCAGCACGTCATAACGTCAGCATCCGACGATTTGTTTCGTTTTTTGGTACTTAAACACACACAGCGACACAAGGCACGACCCAAACAAAAGACGCGCTGGGTCCTAGTGCAGCGAGCTTTCGTCGTTTGTTGACAACCTATGAGCACAAATGGAAAGAATTTCCTCCTTATTCTGTTATGTGGTGAAAACAGAATGTTAAAGTCTTACTGAAAGACGCGGTTTGTTTTGGATCAGAGACAAGAGCATTAATTTAGTTGAAAATTTGCTCAACTTAAAGCTTTTACAGCAAAAGTGACTGTAATCAGTTGGCAATAGCTGTGGATGAATAATTCAAACTGACGCGTGAAACACTCTCATGTGTGATATGCATCTGTTACTGTATAACCAAATAAACCCGTTTGTGGCAAGAAGATACTAGAATTTAGTATTTCATGCTCACGGGTTTGCTTTGCCTGCAGCTGGGTCTAAGGTTGAAGATGACGAGTACGGGATGAACTGCTCAGAGACCATGACGCTCGGAAAAGAAGGTGAGGACTGTGACTGGGCGCATTCAGTTAGAAATTTGCTTACAATCGTCACGGACATGAACGTCGTGGTTATTTGTGGATTTTAATAATTTCTTTGAACTTTTGCTTTTCCGGGGTGTAATGATTGTACAGCATACATCTTAAATGACTTTAAAAAAAAAAGAATTGGATGTACATGTTTGAATTTATTTTGGATTTTTTTTCTCATCCACACAGGGTTGAAATAATATGTAGACATACAGTAACTTACATTTTTAATAAGTGTTGCTGAAGTTTTTACGGTATCTTTTAACTTGACAAGGCCAATTGCAAGGCTTATTAACTTCTTGTTAGTGATCATGATTAATTACAACTGGTAGATTTGCTTGACATCACTCATTGGCTTAAGCGATACTGACTGCAATAGGAGTGTTTAAAGAACTCGGTGAAGATCTAAGAAGGAGAAACCACCAAGGCTCAAGCTTGTCATGCATTGGAAACTCCTGGAGCACCAATGTCACTATGTTTACATTGCATTGGTACGAGAAGGTGCCTGGTCCAAAGCTGACGGCTTCAAACTCGACTGAAATTTGCAGCCGCCTGCATGGACAACCCATATGCCTTCTGCACAAAGGTTTCATGGTCACGTGAGACAAAGATTGAGTTATTTGGCCACAATGAAAATTGGTATGTTTGGAGAAGTAAAGGTAAGACTTTAAAACATAAGAACATTGTACCTATTGTTAAGCATGGTGGTGGTAGCATCATGTGGCACTGGTACAATTCACAGAAAGAGGACTAGCTTCAAATTCTTCAACTCCACGTCAATTCAGCAGCTAGCTGGTTGAAACTTGGATGGGTGTTCCAGCAGGAAAATGATCCCAGGTTCACATCAGAGCTGGTTTTAAAATGGATAAACCAAGTTCACTTTAAGCTTCTGGATTGGCCTTCCTGAAACTCAGACCATGACTGTGTTGAGCCCGTATTTATACTTCTGACCCTGTGTGCTTTAGAACATTTCCAAAATAAATTCAAACTTGTGCACCTAATTCTTGTTTTTTAAAGCCAGTAAAGATGTTTGCTGTACAATCATCCAACCTGGAAAAAAGAACAGTTCAAAGAAATAATCGAAAGCCGCAAATGACATTCACGTCATGTTGTCATGAGTGTATGTAAACATCTGACCATAAATGTACCTAATTTTGTCTCTCCTTCTTTTTCTTCTCTATAGATATGCACATATATGGCCACTGCCCAGCACACGATGATTTTTATTTGGTGGTGTGCAGCCAGTGTGGTCAGGTGGTGAAACCTCAAGCCTTTGAGAGGCACTGTGAAAGGTTGCATGGTTCTGTTACAAAGATATGTAACCTGCCATCCACTCTGGCGCCTCAGCAGCTAAATTGCTCCAGCCTCGGTCTTTCTAATAATTCTTCCTCTATGGAAAGGAAGAAGGAAGGCAGATGTCAAAAGGGCGGCACCTCATCTGCAACCTCACCTGCCCAACAGCACAAGTCTACAAAGACCCACAAATATATAGTGAGGTACTGTTTACGAGTGCCCGTTCAAGAATTAGTAGTCAATGCTAAAATTAACAGATTAATTGTTATTGGAGAACTCTTCCCTGCTCTTCCTGGAGATGTAGGCAAAAACACATTTACATCTTCTAGTTTATATCTTGCATAAATATCAGTGTTGTCTCTCGTGTAAGTCTGAATATCATGAATCTAATAAGTTAATTCTAAGCTCATTTTAAACTTCTTTCTGTAGTTTATCTTCTGTGAAGTTCCCCGAGGAAAACCCTCACTCGTCCTCCATGCCTTGCCTTCCTCCATTCCATTCAGCACCCCTGCCCCCTGACGACTGTTCCACCTCCACTCTGTTAGAGAAATCCTCTGTGCAGAAGTTGACAGCTGGACAGTCCACTGAGTCTCACTGTCCTCAGCGGGGCATAAGAACCTACAGCCGGATTTACAAAAACATCCACAGTAAGTCAGCTTTTTCCCCCAACTTTTGTCTATTACTTCCCCTGCTGCTTTCTGGGAAGTCTGCCCACTTAGTGTGTTAACTTGGGCTTAATGTGTTGTACATCAGTATTTGCATTTTTAAGTAACAGCCTGCATGGATCCTCCTGACAAGTCCTGCTGTTGCTGACTGACCTTTGTGTTTGTGCTTTTCTCCACATAGAAAAAGAATGTGATCTGAATAAACACAGCAGAGTTTTGGACCCCGAAAGGAAGACGCTGTGCAACAGGGAGCTAATGTGCAATGTAAACTCTCAGTACATTGTCATGGCACATTGCCCAGAGTTGTTATCATTTACTTATTGTAGTTAACTGTATAAAAGTTTGGAAATTGCATCTTTTATTATTTCATACAAAACCAAACTGTCACTTTTTCCTTTTCTCTTTTGCACTGCTCTCTCACGGTTCTTTCTTTCATAGGCTGATTCAGTCAAGCATCACCAGAAAGTGTTGGGAGAGACTAAGACCACTGATCAGAGAACTACCTCAGCTACAGATCAAGATATGGAGAAGCTTCGTGATGAATCAAAATACAAAAAGAAACATGTGGAAGCTGACGGGGAAAAAATAACAAATAAAGACAGCAACAACTGCCACATTCAAGGGTATGAGTCTTAGTGTATACCTTAGCAGATTATTGCAGTAAATTAAGTATTTCTTTCAGTTATATAAGAAAGCAACATACTACTGCATACTCAGCGTCGTACAGTGATGGAGGATAATTGCAAATTGTTGAGCTGCAGTTCTCCCATTGTAGTTCAGTCTGTGTTAGTCCACACTATAATGAGCTTTCCTCCATTACGAGTAAAAAAACCCGCAAAAACACTTTGAATGGAAATCTTGAGGATTACCAGACAGATGTTACAGTCCTGATAAGTATGCATCGTCTTTTGCATATCTGCATATTTATTTTATCACATGAAACGGATGTAGGTTTTTTATTTTAATGTTTTTTTGTGGGCCATGCGCTAGCTGTCACAACAGTCTCACGTTTGCATTACTTTGCCTTCACACAGGTCCAGGAATCCACCAGGAAGCTCTCCCGAGGAGGAGGGTAACGGCACTGTGGAAGCGGAAGTGCAACCTCCGTACCCGTTCACCTTGTCAAGTGACGACAGTGAAGAAGATGAGCAGGATGAAGCCACAGACCTACCTGCTACACCCTGGCACCCCAAACCTCTTGGGGTGAGGGCGAGATATACAAAATGCACAGCAGCTGGTTGATGGGAAGGTTGTTACGTTAAAAAAAATCTTTAATGACTGTTTTCAGAGGGGCTGTGTGATAATCTTTCTAATATAGCATAAAATCCATGTTATATTTCTCAAAACAAAAAAGGGTGGTGTGGATGTTTATGTACTTTCAATTCTTTTTAAAGATGTTAACGGTGGAAATTTACACATTGCTTTCATGCAGCTATGCACTTTTGGATGTCGCACGCTCGGTTGCAGCATCTTCACATTTGATCGGCGTTTGCACCACCTGCGCTTTGCACTCAGTGCCATGTTGGAGCGCCATGTCAGCACACACTTGTGGAAGTGAGTATTACTGTTTTTTAAATGGCACCCATTTGCCCAAAACAAGTTGAAGAAAAGACCTGCTGACTGAGCTTAAAAGACAACTATCCACAATATGCAAGAGCCTCCACTGAACTAGACACTGAAATCGCTACAGGGAGGAGGTCTACTGTGGATGGCCTCAGCTACTCCCTGGTAATTGTCTAAATAACAGAAACATCAGCTTTTTTTTTCTTTTCTATTTCCTACCTTTGCTGACGGGTTGAAAAACATCTGTTTGCA